TATTCTTTGGATATTAAAGACCTGAATAAGTTCTATGTGCTAACCTGTTAGATTATGATTTAGTAGAAGAAATTTGATAAATCTGCTATACGAATTAAATACTTACTCTGAAGTAGTTTATTTTTCACTTAGAAGATCAGTTAACTGTTCAGCCTAGGTTCCAACACCCTGCCTCAGTGAAAAAGGTCTTTTTGTGTATACTGATATGGCTGCTAATGTGTATCTACAACAAATCTCAAGTTTATCTTGTTAAAAATTAAAAATGGTAATATTTAATCTAGGCTCTTTCATCACAACCCTAGCATGGGGAAACCTTTTTTTTAAGCAGCAATGGTGACACTGATATTTTTAGATAGTTACTATTAATTAAAAAAAAATGCCAATTGCTTTTCACCTGTTCTTTGCAATAGCTTCCCAATTAGTCTTCCTGCTTTGAGTTTCTCTCTCTCTAATCCCTCTTTCACATAGATGCCAAAGAAACATTCCTAAAGCACAGTTCTGACCATGTCACTCTCCTGCTCAAGATTCAGTGGTTCCTCATTGCCCCTAGGATTAAATACATAACTCTTTTGATTGGCTTTTAAAGTCCTTCACCATCAATATTTGTGTAATTTAAAATAAAGGCTTGGGCTGCGTATGATGGGGTGATTCTAAAAAAATAAAACTGCATAGGGAGAGATAAAAAGGAGGAATTATCTCATACAGATGAGGCATGAAAGGAAGAACTGACAAAGAAGAAGCAAGTGTGTATATGGGTAGAGGGCTGGTAGTGCTAGAAGCTTACTCTCATTGGAAATAGGTTAAAGAGGGAACAACATATACGTCCAGAAGGGGATAAAAGCCTATTAAATTTAGAAAGAAATAAGAAGGTGAGGGGAGAGGGTAAGGGAGGAACTCTTAGAGGGATGGTTAGGTTAAGGAATAGGAGGGCAAGGTAGGGGGTTTAAGTAAATTAGGCTTGTGAGGAGAGACAGGGTGAATAGGGTGAGGATAGTGAAAAATAATAGGACGGAGGGAAATACCCAACAAGCAACTTAGAATGTGAATGGGACGAATTTACCCATAAAACAGAAATGGATAGCACAACTATCTAGCACTAGCTAAGAAATGGAGAGATGGATTAGTGGAACAGAGTATGCATACAATACATACGCAGTATACTGTGTTTGACAAATGTAAAGGTTTATGTTTTTGGGATACTAATTCATTATTTAGTAAAAAATTGTTGGGAAAACTAGAAAGCAGTCTGGCAGGAATTGGGCATAGACCAATGTATTAAACCATGTACCAAGATAAGGTCAAAATGGATACATGACCTAGATATAAAGGGAGATACCACAAGAAAATTAGAACATATTACCTATCAGACTCATGGATAGGGGAATGTAAGGAAATGAGACAGTGAGCACTGTTGAGGTATAAATGGATAATTTCGATTATTTTAAATTAAAAAATTCTTGTATAAATAAAGCCAATGTAGCCAAGATTAGATGGAAAGCAGAAAGTTGGGTGGGAAAAGCTTTCATAGACAATCTCATAGATAGGGGTCAGTCTCATTTCTCAAATATATGGAGAACTTTGCCAAATTTATAATACAAGTCATACCCCAGTTGATGAATGGTCAAAGGATATGAATAGGAAGTTTTTCAATGAAGAAATCAAGACTATTTATAATTATACGAGAAAATGCTCTAAATCATTATTGATCAGAAGAATACAAATTAAAATAACTCTGAGATATAATTTTACACCTATCAGATTAGTTAAAATGACTGGTACTCTTCAACCGGGGAACAGCTAAATAAGCTGTGGCACATGATCATGATGGAATACTACTGTGATATAAGAAATGATAAACTGGTTGATTTAGGAAAACAAGGAAAGATTTGGACCTATAAAGGAAGATGTTATCCACCTACAGAGAAAAAACTGACAAACAGAAATAGGCATAGTATGGTCTCACATGTGTGTGTATTGATGTTTATGGATATGTATATATATGTATATATTTGCATTTAATTGTAGCCTTCTCTGGGGCGGGAAAAAATAAAATAAAAAGTGCACAGCAGAGAACAAAAGAAACCCTAGAAGGAAGGACAGAAAAGCTGGGCTGCTTTGAAAACAATGGGCAGGATTTATTACATAGATTTTCATGAAATGCAAATTTTTACATTGAATCCTCTCATGTTCTGCTTGTACACATGGAAATGTTTTTTTTTCTTTTTGTATTTAAGTTTAAAATGAAAAAAAATTAAAATTGCCTCCACCCTACCTTTCCAGACTTATTTCATGCATTCTTCAGTTCAGCCAAACTGGCCTCGTAGCTGCTGTTCCTCATACATCACTACATTAGCCATCCTTATACCTTTGTACTGGTTGGCTCTAAGATCTCGAAACCATTCCCTCTTCACTTCTGTTTTTAGAATCCATGGATTCCTTCAAAATTCAGCTCAAGCCACTTCCCTCATTGGCCTTTCCTGATCCCCCTCCTGCCAGTATTTTCCCACCAATACTGTTTAGATTTATTTTGTGCATATTTCATGTATGTGTACATGTTGCTTCCTCTCAATAGAATGTAAGCTCTTTGAGGGCACTTTTTTTTTCTTTACCCCCAGTGCCTAACATGCCTGACACTTGTAAGGTACTTAATAAGTGCTTGTTGATGGATGAGGCCCCATTAAATGTACTAGAATGGTCTTCTAGCTAATCTTTGCGGCCTAGTGGTGACCACGGAGTGTCTGCAATACACACAAATCAATCAGAGAGCTTATAATTCTGAAAAGGAAAGGATCTTGACCTGGAGAGACCTCTCAACAGAGAATGTAAACTACTGAAAAATGCAGCTTCTTGAAAGGGATAAGTTTTATGTCAGGTCCTGAAGGAAATGTTTAAGAATTAATAGAGGATAGATGAGAGGGCATTCTAGAGAAGGAGAGAACACTTTCAGTAAAAATGAAATGGGAATAGTATCAGCTGTCAATAGTGAAAAGATATTCTGAGGAATGGGATGAAGCAGTAGAGGTGTGTGGCTCTGGCAGATGACAGAGGTCCTAAAGGCTAAGTAGTAATTTTGATTTGATACCTTAGGAGCTCTTGGGGAATGTGACAGACGTCCAAGGATGATTGTTTTGGCGATTTTGTGGAGGCTATATTTGAGAACAGTTGGGTGCTATATTATGGCAATTTGGTGGAGAAGTGGTGAGGATTTGGAGTAGGGTGGTGAAATTACGAAAACAGGAAGAATGAGGCGACAGAAATAAATATCATGGTGTTTTTTTTATCATTCATTTTTTTCTCTACCAATGAAGCTGATAATACACAAATTCTAGCTATATAAATGAGATTTCCTTCAGACAATTTCAATCTAAAAGGGTTACAGAATAGAGTATTCTTTAATTATAGAGAAAGTAAAGTAGTACACAGATGCTTTAACACAAACTAATTGGTATTTTTTTTGTAATAAAGATATTTCAAATCACAGGTAAAGGAGTTACTAGTTATCATGGATTTAGATTTGATGGAATTTTTAAAATTATTAAGGAAAAAAAAATCTAACATTCATATAATGTTTTAAGATTTGTAAAGCCCTTTACATATATTATCTTACTTGAGCCTCACAACAACCCTGTGAGGTAGGTGCTCCTCCTCACTTTATAGATGAGGAGATGGAAGCCATCATAAGCTTAGTAGCTTGCCCGGCATACAGCTAGCTCATGTCTGAGGAAGGACTCAACCTCAGGTCTTTCTGACTCCCAAGTCCAGCAATGCATCCACTGTGCCACCTAGCTTCCCCAAAAGGCAACACTAAGAGCAGATAAATGACAAATAAAATATATAACTTTGAAAACAAAAAATAAGTGAGACCTCACTTTCTTTAAATTGGTAACCATTTGGTATAATGAATTATCTACTGCTGATATACATTTAAAATACCCCAAAAAAGTGAATACAAACTGGAGCTTTGTAGCACTTCTCCTTTAATACCAACAGATAATTTGGAAGACTTGATTGACTAAAGCAATGTTTAATACTCTGAGAAAGTTATGCCTGAGTGTGTCTTAAAGACAAGTTTTCGCTATGGTAAGGAGCTTTGCCACATCATTAACTTTTAGAAGAATTTATTTTAAAAGGCATAGGTTATATGCTTTTGAAATGCGTCTTACAATTTTAAAAAGTAACGGACTTCAAAAACTAAAGACCTTAAATTGAATTTTTTTTAATGATGTAAGTACAGGGAAATGGTCTGCATATGATTTCTTGCAGTTGCAACAACTATCATTTGGATAGACATCTACCCAGATGTTACCAAACAATATAAACAGAATGCTGCTGTAGCCTGAGGTTGTTATTGCTCCAATTGGGTGAAGAGGCAAAGATCAAAATAGATTACTTTGCCACAAGAGGCAGGCAGGCTATGTAAAGCTCTAAAATGCTTCTTGATGTTTGCAAAATACCACAATGGAAACCACAAAAATGTCAACAAATGGGAAACTTCCCAAACCCTAGAATAAGATTTGCATAAAAAGACAAAATTAGTACTTTATGCATGCTTTTAAGAAGTTTTTAAAACAAGCTACTGTTTAATTCGCATACATATTGTCAATCTGAAAGAAAAAAATCATTACAGTAAATTAAATACTGTAGAATTAATTGAAAATATAACTTTAAAAGGTTTTTTAGGGGGTAAAGAGAACATACTCCACAAAGCATTAAATGGGAAAATTTCACTAGTTACAAAAATTAACCAGAAAAAAAGAAATTTCCCATTTGCCTAAGCCAATACTGAGTGTTTTTCCTGAAAGCCAATGCTTACCTTTAAAAATGCCTTATTTTAAAATCACTGTATGAAAATAGAACCGGTTGCCCCCAAAATCTTGGTGTGGTTTAGAGCTTCAATACCTTTTAAGTTACAGATAGCTATTAACATCAAGCTACTGAAACTTAAAACTGCACTAAGACCCTGTATTGGGGGTTAAAGCCTTTAAGAGGTGCCCTTTCTATTTTTTTTCCTGGTTCACACAAGGCTGATATCTAGAATATTCATCAGAACATCATTAGACACCAAGAAAGGAATGGTTGCAAAGGACAGTTTTTCATTTCATCTTTTGACCTTCAATCCACACTAAGTAAGCATTCCTAAAGTGCCTGGGAGTCAGATGCAAACTTAGCTCTTGGCCTTTATATTCAGTTAAGTCCAGCAATATAACTATTGTTCCATATCAGCCTGCTGACAGCATATTCAGAATAATTTCCCCTGGGACCTGAAGCTCTTATACCATAGAATTGGTACTACTTCTTAGTTAAAAGTCAATTGTCAGTGTGCAAGAAAGAAGAATTTTCAGACAAAGTAATAGGTATGCTCATGTATATGAGAACAGAGTAGTTGATTTGCTTTTCACATATAATAAATAGCAGATACATAGCATCTTGAATTATGATGACATAATTAAGAATTTTAAGATAATAAACACTGCATAAACAATGCAACATAGAAGACTCCCATTTTTAAGAACAAAAATAGGATTCACATAAAAATAAAAAACAGATTTATTACAATTCACATCTAGTACAACTTAGAAGTCTACATTCTTAGTATCTAAACCATCAAAAACAAACAAAAAATAGCTTACAAAGTTAGAGGCTCTTCTTGTCCAAACAGGTCCAAAAGAGGTCACATACTGCTTTTTTGTTATTAAATTAAAATTATTGATCACCTCCTCTTTGCCTTAAATTTCTAGATTTTCCATTATCAAATCTTCTCTTTTTGAAGACTGGAGCTACTCCTTCTGCCACATCTCCAAGAGAAGTGACTGTTTTTTCTTTAAATGTCACTTTTGGGTCCCCACTCATATCAGCAACTGGAGCTCCTATGTATTCATCCTCTGTACTTGGAAGTTCCAAATCTATCTTCTGACTAGAGTAGAAAGTAAAACAAGAACTATTATGTAACAATCAGAGTAAGATGGAAACTTTTCCAAATAATGCATGTCTTCAAATCAAGCCCAGAAATATTTATGTCTATTATAGTTAGAGAGTTTGTTAAGAATGTTTTTTACCACACAGGTTGATGTCACTGGTTAATTTAAATTAATAATTATTTCAAGTGGATAAACTCCATAACAGCAAAACCAATCTTAACATACATTTATGGAACAGGTTTTATGTTCCAAATGGAAAATAGATAACAGATTTTTTTTTAAAGGATTCATGCAAAAACCAAGGATCATCATCCTAAGGCAGCTATAGAAAAAATAATGCCTTCTCATCAAAAGGGAGGAAGAGAATTGACAGACATTTTCAAAACTCATGATAAACAGGTACATGGTCATTGCAATTATCAAATGTAACCAATGCTGGTTTACCTCTGAATGAAGCCTATGAAACAGAAAAGGCCCTCCTCACGGGCAACAACCAAGAAAACATCAACCAAGAAGAAAGCAAGTGACTGAATAATGAGCTTCTGTTTACAGAAATGGGGGATTTATTATAGCAAGACCAGGTCGTTGTTATTAGAGATTACGAAAAGGTTATCCTTAAGAAGTCTAGATGAAAATGTACCACTACTAAACACCAAAAAAGACAGGATTCTAGATATAAAAACAGAAGCTCAATATACTTTGTAAAGAGGCAAGGAGCCCCATACTATTCCCTCCCCAAAAAAAATTCTTGAGAATTTAACAAATTGTTCTGAAAATGGAACCTCATCAAAGACAAAATTACTGCCTATGACTGCCCAGATAAAACAGCTAACCAGAAACATTTAAGAACAATATTTTTAATAATCCACATGGGATCTATAAGGGATGCTTCTAACTTCCAAACTATGAGTAATGAAACATCTCTCAAAATATAAAAACCTAGGAGAAGTTGAAACCACATGAAAACAGAATTATTTATCTCCCCTTTTGTCTCAAGGTTGGAAGCTATGTGAAAAATGTCTTCAGAGAGTCTACAGAAGATGAAACTTATATACTTACACTTCCATTCATTTACAAAAGCTACAGCCTGTGCAATAGTCTGAACATTAAAGATGACTTCTTATTAGTGACTATGATTGTTTCTATGTGAAATCTATCAGCTATGAGAATGAGAAAAAAAATAACACATTAATATGGTGTTTTAAGATTTACAAGCACTTTTTCCACAACTGTGTAAGGCAAGTAGTTTAAGCATTATTATCTCTATTTTACAGATGACGAAACTGAAGCTCAGAGAGGTAAAGACATGGTCACATAGCTTATAAATGCTGAAGCCAGGACATGGACATAGGCTTTCTGGTTTCAAATCTGGGACTATTTTCCACTATACTACAGTGCATTGTGGTATATACACATTACTGAACACCTCTATCTCCACTATGTGTTCAGTGTCAATGTCCATGATTATTTCAAGCAAAATCAAGTTTATTAATGACTATGTATAATGCTTTATGTTAGCCATTAGGTATGTACAAGGGTAAATATGACCCTTGTTCTTAATATGTTTACAATTGAGATGGGGTGATAAAATATTCACACAAAATAATTACAAAGATCATAATATGATAAAGTGAGTAAGTATGGACAATATGAATTCAGATGAGAAGTACCATATCTTGCTGAGCAGTTCAGTGATGACTTTAAAATTGGGGGCACTTGAGATGATAGGATTAAGAAAAAAGCATATTTGAGATTGAGGGAATGATGTGATACTGGGTGGGGTGAAAAGTTGGGAAGGGAGTCTGATTTGGTTAAAATAATGTGAGAAAAAGGCTGAGGAAAATGTACTGGTGTCAGACTGGTTAAGGTTTGGAATGCCAAACTAGAGGATTTATCAACTGAACACATTGCAGTAATAAGGTGTTTAAAGTTTTTGAACAGTGAAACATTATGAGAACCATGTACTAGGAAGATTAATTTGGTGGCTATGTTTAGGATAAACTTGGGAGTGAGGAAGAAAATGGAAAGTGGAGAGATGATTAAGAGGGTACTTTCATAGTCCAGTCTAGAGGCATGAAGGGTCTGAACTGGGTGGGGTGGTAGTGAGGTGTGCATGGCGTGTGCAGCAGTGAGACTGATAGGGAAGAGATGGGAGATATGTTTCTTCTTCTTTTTATTTGGGTGGGGGGCGGGGCTGGAGGGATAGTGTTTAGGCAATGGGGTTAAGTGACTTGCCCTGGGTCACATAGCCAGTAAGTGTCAAGTGTCTGAGGCCAGATTTGAACTCAGGTCCTCCAAGGTTGGAGCTCTATCCACTCCGCCATCTGCCCTGAGGGGGAGAGCTATTTCTAAGAACTGACAGGGCTTGGTGGTAACTGACTAGATAGGAGGAATGGATGATGACATTAATGTTTCAAGTGTAAGTAACTAGGAATACCATCAACAAAAACAGGGGTGAGACTTCTAGAAGCCAAGATGGCAGAGTAAGAAGTAAGTCGCTCTCACTCTCCCTTACTGACTTCTAAAAGCCCAGAAAATATTGCCCCAGGAAAAACCCTGAAAGAGCTGAGCAAACAAAAAGACAGGATACAGCAGTCTTGTAGCTCAGGAAGCTTGGAGGATTAACTCCGAGGTACTACATCACACCTATCAGATCGGCCAAAATGACAAAACAGGAAAATGATAAATGTTGGAGAAGATGTGGGAAAATTGGAACACTGATGCATTGTTGGTGGAATTGTGAAATGATCCAACCATTTTGGAGAGCAATTTGGAACTATGCCCAAAGGGCTTGGGATATGATATTCCATAAGGCAAAGAAGCTTGGATTACAACCAAGGATCAACTACCTAGCAAAACTGGGCATAATCTTTCAGGGGAGGAGATGGCCATTCACTGAAATAAGGGACTTTCAAACCTTCCTGTTGAAAACACCTCAAAAGAAAATTTGATTTTCAAATACAAGACTCAAGAGAGGCATAAAAATGTAAACAGGAAAGAAAAAAACATGTTATTCAATAAGGGCAAACTGTTTACATCCCTAAATGAGAAGATGATACTTATAACTCTTGAGAACTGTATTTTTATTAGGACATTTAGAAGGGGTATACACAGACAGAGAGCATGGGTATAAGTTGACTTTGATGTGATGATAAAAAAAACCTAAGTGGTAAAAAGGTATTGTACTGGGACAAGAGGAAAGGAGGAGGCAGAAAAGAGTAAATTACATCACATGAAGAGGCACAAAGACCTATTATAGTAGAGGGAAACAGAGGAGGGGTATGAGCATTGTTTGAACCTTACTCTCAGATTTGGCTCAAAGCAGGAATAACATATTCAGTTAGGTACAGAAATCTAACTAGCCATATAGGAAGCAGGAGGGAAAAGGGAAAGAAAAGGGAGGAGCTTGATAGAAGGGAGGGAAGACGTAATAAGGGTAAAGGGGAAGAAAAGGGAGGGCAGACTGAGGGAGGTGGTGGTCAAAAGCAAAATTCTACTGAAGAGGAAAAGGGAGAAAGGAGAGAGAAAAGCATAAACAGGAGGAAAAATAGGATGGGAGAAAGCTTTTTTTTGTTGTTTTGTTTTGTTTCTTCTTTCTTGTGGTTCCTCCCATTGGTTCTGGGGAGCAGAGAGGGAGAAAATTAAAAACTCAAAATTTTATGGGAGTGAATGTTGAAAGCTAAAAATAAATTAATTTAAAAAATAAGCAGGTAAGAAAGAGGGACAGATTTTTAAAAGATAATGATGTCATATCTGGAATTGGGATCTTATCTAAGTAGGAAGACCCAGGGTACAGGTTGAAATGGGGATCTAGACCTTAGTAGATGGTGAAGGCTACCTTGAGTGATGGCTAAGATTTAGCGGTGGTAAGAAGAGACAGACAAGAAATGGCCAGAAAGGTAGGTGGAAAACCAGGATGCTATCTTCTCAGATTAACTGTATATAAATAAGTTTCTGTTACTTACTAGGGATTATCCTCTTGCTTAATTTCTTTCCATTCCCCATAAGGGTTAGGCTTTTTAGGAGATCTAGGTTTTTCTTCTAATGGACCTGATGAGTCTTGTTCCTGATCACCATCACTTTTTTCCTTCTTTGATTCAGTTTCAGTTTTTTCAGCATGATCATTCTTAGTTCTTTTCTGAATGAGAGAAAAGATGATTGGAAACTACATTAAAACAACCTTTAAAAAGGTTCTAATAATTTTACTTAAGTATGTGATTGCTTCAAGCAGGGGTTGAATAACTACGTGGGTGTATTAGAGTACAGATTTTTTTTTTGAGCAAGGGTGGGACAAGATGGCCATTGATGTCCCTTCCTCTAAAATTCTGTGACTTACTGTGTGCCCTTAGGGAGCATTACTTCAAGTCTCTGGACCTTAGTTTCCTCATGTGTAAAATGAAGGTTCTAGCACTAAAATTCTCTGAATATTAGGGACCAATCAGAGTTCCCTACAAAATGACTCAACATACTTTATTTTTACATAGAATTTACAGTTTAGGTCTAGTGTTTGAGAATATTGTTCACTTAATAGGATGAATACTATCCTGAACTTCTATGGAAGAAACATATAAACTCCTGAACTTTCAAGAATAGAAATTTGTCAGTGCCATGGTTGCGATTTATGGACAAGTCTGCCCTTATCATGAATACTGAAGGAACTGAGAGGGCTTAGGTTCTTCTGCATTAAGAAAATCTCAGTTATATCCTGGACCTCAAGGAAATAATGCAGTATTATGTGACAGAAGCAGTAAATCTCTAGACCTTAATTTCTTTTGGCCATACAACTTAAGAGAAGTTACACAATGGATTCAACAAGGCTAGATACTAAAGAACGTAAATTCTGGATACTAAGTGTAAGGTGCAGGGAATTTTCCTATTCAGAAAATTATGAGTCTCTACCTTCAGGATAGGTAGAGGGTAGCATAAAGAATGTCTTTCAAAAGGCACCTGAAGGTTCATTATGTATCTTGCTCCCAAGGAACCTGGAAGGTATACACTGGGAGGCTCATACCCCATATAAGTATTTGGGAGCTTCAAGAGGTTATCATGGCTAAAAGTTATCATAGTTAAAAACCACCCAAAATACCCTAAGGCAGAGGAGTCAAACACATGTAGGCCAATGTGGCCTACAAACTCAAAGGGATTCTTATTCACCGTTTTGTGGCTCTCATATTTCCATTTGAGTCTGACACCACCACTCTAAGGTACTCTCAAATAGAAGGTTCTGTGAATTCACTTCTAATCCATTTTACTGCCAGAGTCAAGGGGCCATGGCTTGGCTCCTTCCTTTGTCATCTTCTGCATGTACATTGTTAGATGAATTAATTAAATCAGTGGTGTCAAACTCATAGAAATGGGGGCCTCTAAACCATATACAAAGATTCCTGTGGGCTGCATACTGACTTAGGAAACCACATATTAACAATATCTATGTTTTATTGTATTTTTATTTATTTTTGTTAAATATTTCCCAGTTACATTTTAATCTGGTTTGGGCTGTACTTAAGAGTACTGTAGGTCACATGTTTGACACCTCTGAACTAAATCACAAGATCTACTTTACTAACTGAAAAACTTTCAGTGTACAGGTAAAGCCATTTATAGCTACCCAGCTTTAATCACAGATTCTAACTTAATACTGCTTGACAAATAATTCATTTACATATTGCTTTAAGGTTTACCAAACAGCTTTCCTCATGACAACGTAGTGCTACGTAAGTAGTATTATCCTCATTCTGCAGATGAAGCAATAGGATTCAAACAGCCTAAGTGAATTGCCTGTGGTTACACAGCAATGAAGCAGGAGAGCTGGGATTCAAACTGTGGTCTTCTAAATCCAATTCTCTTTCTATTCTAACCTGCTTTACCAGATGGGTTATTTCCAAGGGAACATCAAGTCCTGACTGATTGAACTCCAGATGCAAATCCCTGATCAAGAACATCTGGCTGCTCTCTCTCTTCATTTCAGGACCAGAACCTCTTGAATACGCCTCTTCCCCATGTCAGAGTTCACAACCACTGTTCTGTTTCTCTTTCTCTCACTTTCAAGGATTCCTTAACACGACTGTGCTTCCTGCGCTACGATTTCTCTCTTTTTAGCTTCTACAGCTCAATTTTTACAAAAGTAAATGGATTTCCACTACGACTGCCTTAGCCAAACAGTAATACATATAAGATATACAAATAATTGGTGAAAGCTGAACAGTGATTTTGACCACAAACAATTCTCTGTTTTTCATATTTATATTATAATGTAGTCTGCTAATCTTGACCTTTCATAAGGTAAGAGGAGACAAAAAATAAATCAAAAGCTGAGTTCAGGATGAGAAAAAGAGTATGTAGATTTACTGATGCTTTGGAATACACTGAATATGAAAAAATACACCCAGGGATAAACCCTATTCATAAAGCCTTTAGGGACCCTCATGAACAGAAAAGGACATAGTTCTTTAGGAAGAATGCCAAATACAACAAACCTAAGTAAACAGAAGACTCAGAATGCTCTGCACTTTTGCTGTCAAATCTGCCCAGTAATTCAACAACATTTCATAGGTATAAAATATATCATACATATGTACAACCAGAAAAGGAGGTAGGCCATTTATAGTTATAAACAAAAGATAAGAAGCAGGCAACCCAAGTGTTCCACTAAGATGTTAAATATCAGAAGACCCAGAAGGAGGTCTCCAGAGTTTGGAGGTATGAGAAGGCAGAAAATAATTCCATGGGGGATTTCTAGAAGGTCATGAATGAGAATTATGCAGGAGAAGGCATAGATGCATTGTCATCTGCATTGGTAAAGGGAATACTTACTTCAGTGGATAAGTAGATGAAAGAAAGGTTTACAATTATTAGGAAGTCAGATTTACACAGAAATTATTCTGTAAAAATTGTTTCTATTCCTGTTGTCTACTAAAGAAGGCACTTAACTGGAAGTCTATGAGTGACTTAAAGTAGATTTATATGAGTTACTTGTTCTCGCTACACTTTGATTTTCTCTTTTACTATAAGGTAGGATTAACTTTCTGAACCTTCATAAAATTTTTTAATATATTTGAGAAAAATGAGCACAAAGACTTACCCTAAACTTTATTTTTGGCTTTTGTACTTCTGTAGAGGTCTCCGATTTTTCCTCCTCTTCTTCTGTTTCTTGTATTTCACTGGAATCACTATTGGAATCAGATGACTTTGATTCAGCTGGGGCATCAAGTGTTTCAGCACTATTACTAGAAATGGGCTCTCCAACTTCTGGAACAAAATCCTCAGGCTTCTCCCATTTGGATTCTGTTCCAATACATTTGATATAGCATTTTTAACAATTAACTTACTATGAAAATTTTAAACTATTTAAACTTAAAGCGATCTATAAAAATGCATGTTAACTCCTTCCCTTTGTGTTTCTTTCCATTGTCTTTGTCCATTCATCCTATGTTTTCTTTTTATATACTTATAGTTTATGTAAATACTGATATTTAGGTTTGTTTTCTTAATCTTATTATTTCTCTCTTAAACCTTTCCATATTTTTTTATATTCTTTATATCTCAATTGTATGACTGTCTTTGATTATACTGATATAGCACATTGTTGAACTATTCACCTACTCATAGTTAAGACTTTTAGGTTGTTTCATACCAACAGCACAAACAATACCGAAATCACTAATTTTCTTCATAATTCCCAGAATTACATTTGAGATCAGAAAGTTATCATCATAAATGTTATTTTTTAAATGGCTGAGTTATATTTATACAACACTAATGGCAACAAGATGAAAACTGTTTCACTCCTTACTATCAGATACTAATTCTCCATCCTGCAGATAAGCATCTAGTTTCTAAAGATGCAGGGTGGATTAACATTAGTCAGTGTGCAGGCTCCACTGCTCCCCATTTGGGGATCTTGTATTTATACCTTTTGGAAATTAGAAATCAAGGGGCCTAGATATTAAATAGAGTAATTCAACATCCTACAAAAACCAGGACCTTACTTCCACTTAATTCAATATACACACTTATTAAACACCTACTACGAGCAAAGCAAATATGGAAAACAACAGTCCCTACCTTCAAGGAATTTATAAACTATTGCTCGAAGGGCCTGTGATTTCTTCAAGTGTGGGAACCCCCTGCAATGACTTATTTCAGCAGTTCTCAAAGTGTGGTTTGGGGATCCCTGGAGGTCCCCAAGCTCCTTTCAAGGGGTCTGTGAGGTCAAAAAACTATTTTCACAATAATACTAAGATGTTTTCAGTTCTAATACTGTAAATATTACTAGATATAACCCACATAAATAAAAGCTCTTTGGGATCACCTCAACAATTTTTTTGAGTGTAAATGGGCTCTGAGGCTAAGAAGTTTGATAACTGCTGATTTAGTCTAATTTGGGTATGAACAATAAGCCCCTCTACAAATCCCCCAGCAGGTGACCATCTCACCTCTGCTTGGAAGACCTCTAGTTATGGGGAATCTATCATATCCCAAGGCTGTTAATTCTACTTTAGGCATGCTTTGTTAGGAAGTTCTCCTTACTTTGAACTATAATTTATCACTCTGCAACTTCCTCCCAGTGCTTCTAGTTATTGCCATCTGGCAACAATCAAAACAAGTGCAATATTTTTTTCGTCTAACTGGACATATCAGATGTTTAAAGACAGCTATCATGTTCCTTCTAAAATCTCTCTTCTATGTAAAATATCTTCAATCAGAACAACTCATCCTGTATGGCATGGTCTACAATCCTTTTACCCTCCTGGTTGTCCTTCTTTAGAAGTGATCCAACCTGTTAATGTCCTTCCTAAAATGTGAGGCCAGGAAGTGAAAAAAGTTGGGCTAGGTCAGATCACAGTAGGACTGTGTCACCTCCCTTATTACGGACACTCTTAGTGTACCCCAAATCAAATTTGTTTGTTTCAATGCATTATTATTATTTTTACATACATTGAATTTGAAGTTAACTAAAACTCCCAGCAGAACTTTATCACCTGACTGGGTTTCAATATGCACCAATGATATCACAGATCCATTGAAACAAGGGGCTCCAGAAAGACAGAGATTTTGGGAAATGTTTTGCTGAAATCCAGGCATTTTATGTCTAGCACATTCTTTTGACCTACCAGGTTGGTAACTTTATTGGAAAAAAAAAAAGAAAAGGCATGTGGTTATGAAATTAGAGCTCTCTTTTATGTTTGTTTGTTTTTAGGCAATTGGGGTTAAGTGACTTGCCTAGGGTCAGGTCTGAGGCCGGATTTAAACTCAGAGCCTCCTGACTTCAGGGCTAGTTCTCTATCCATTGCGCCACCTAGCTGCCCCTACAGCTTTCTTTTGAAAAAATAAAATAAAACATTTTACATCGTGTTTGAGGTTAATTTTTAAATAACTGTTATAAACTGTCTAAGGGGCATATTTTATTTCATGAAAGATTCAACTAGGGGATACAGAATTGAAATTCATATTTGAAATACAGAAACAGAACCTATCAAATGAGCTTAGAACTTCATTTAGAGTAACAGTAGCTCAGTTTGCTGAGCAGTTGAATTAGTGCCTCAATTCTGACCCTGACATGGATTTGCAACTGTTGCAAAATATACTGATTTACATTAGAAAATAGGGAGAATAAGAAAAAAATATAAACTAGTTCTTTATCTTTCACATTAAAAAATGTGTCAAGTTTAACTTTTGCCATTTAAAAAAAACGCATTAATTTTAATTAGTTGATCTACACTGACACCTAGTGGTCCTTCTGGCATTTAGCATACATTTGTAATTGGCATTTTTTATCTCTTGCTTATCTTCTGATCTGTCAGTATGGTGCATATTCTATGCCTAACAGGGATGATGCTAGAAACAATTTATATATATAATTTTTGCTTTTCCACACCAAAAATGAGTTAATAAAGAACCTTCTAGGAAAAACTTAAAATATCAATTTTATTAAAATGATGGAAAACAATCATACGCTGATGACAATAATGATGTCATAATAAACACCAGCCATTCATAAAGTTTATTATGTGGTTTGATATTCTAAAAGTCAAGTAACTTCAATGGGGACAAAGACTCTCAAAGAAATTCTGATGCAGACTCAAACAATTGTAATGAAAAAAGGAGAGGAATAAAAACCAAAAAATCAAATGCAGCTGTGTAGTAAAAGTTCTGGGGCTGCTAGGTGGCAAAGTAGATAGTATACGGGGTCTGGAGTAGGGAAGATTAATTTTCCTGAGTTCAAATATGGCCTGAGACACTTACCAGCTGTATGACCCTGGGCAAATCATCGAAATGGCAAACAGTGTTTTTGCCAAGAAAACCCTAAATGGGGTCAGAAAGAGTCAGACATGATTGAAAACGACTGAACAACAGCAAGAGCTCTCCAATGAGGTCAGATTTTTAAAAGTCATGTTTGAAAGATGGAAATGAGGAGACACAAAGGACAAATGTGAAAGAGTAATGCTATTCTACAGGACTAATATCAGGAAAACTAAATCCTTCCTGGACAAGTTGAAGCTGGTTAAAAAAAAATGACAGCAGAAAGGGCTTTTAAAAGTTATGTTGAAGACTAGAAGATCAAGGAAATCACTGGCCTGCTGTTTGGCAACTAGGTCTCTAGCAAAAGATGATAAAGTAAAATTATTCAACTCCTCTTTTACTTTGGTGTTCTCTATTAAGGAGAATGATCCTAAGACTACAGAGAATTTAACAAAGAATTAAGAAGGAACTGAATGTCAAACTAAGTGAGAAGACAAGGAGTTCAAATAATCTGAATGTGATGAAGGATATTTCAAAGTACTGGCAGAACTTGGCCAGTATGACTGTTGAACCGCTGTCATGATCTTTTAGAAACTACAGAACTAGAAAGGAGTTAACAGGATTGGAGCTAGGTGGAGTACTGACTTTCAAAGCTAAAGCTCAATCCTGCAAACTACCATCTGGTTTCAACTGCTGGCAAAATATGGAAACAAAGAATTAAAGGAACTGGACATATTTGGCAGAATGGGAAAGGAGGAACCATGACAGTTGTTTCAAGTAAGGAAAAACTTGTTAACAATTCTAAGCCTTTCCAAAACTGGATGGGCTGCCTCAAGAAGTACCGGGCTTCTCCCTTGGAAGTCTTCAAGCAGACAGTGGATAATTTCATAGGCTATACTGGGGATTCCTTTGGGTTGGACCAGATGGCTGCTAAGGACTCTTTCAACCCTTAAACTGTGTGATTTTGTGCTTTATAAGCACTTATAAAGGTATGTGGCAATTATAATAAGTCATTATAAATTCATTCAGCATAAGGTAAATCCAGCTTTCTTTATCTAAATTAGGCAGATCAGATAAACACAGTGGTCACAGTATACTCAGAAGGATATTGGGACCATGCCTAGTCTACAAACGTAACAGTTGTTAAATCTTATCAGAGCATTAAGTCCCCTCTCTACTCACCCCAGTTCAGGCCCTTCTCATCTCTCACCTGGAATATTTCAGTTTTGTTGCTGCTGCTCAGTCGTGTCTGACTCTTTGTGATCTCATTTGGGGTTTTTATGGCAAAGATACTGGAGTGGTTTGCCATTTTCTTCTCCAGCTCATTTTAAAGATTAGGAAACTGAGGCAAACAGGGTTAAGTGCCTTGCCCAGGGTCACATAGCTAGTTGAGTGTCTGAGGTCAGATTTGAACTTGGGGAGATGTCTTCTTGACTCCAGGGCCACTGACTCCACTCTACCCACTGGGCCACAATAGCTGTCCTTCAGAGTATTTAAAAAACCAGTTCTAACTGGCCTCCCTGCCTCAAGTCTCTCCCATCTCTAACTTACCCTCCACACAGCTGCCAAGGTGTTTAATTCCTGAAGTACAGGTTTGAGCTTATTTCCCTGCACAAGCTTCAGGGGCTCTTTTGCTTCTAGGACCACTCCTTTGTTTGGAATTTAAAGCCCTTTATTAGCTGGTTACCTTCCATCTTTTTTGTTCTGTAACTCACTCTCCTCATCATTCTATAATCTAGTCAAACTCGCTTTCTTACTCATTCCATTTCCAGCCTCCATCCTTTTGTTCAGGCCTCCCTTTTTTCTTGCACCTCTCAGGATCCCTGGTTTCCTTCCAAATCCAGTTAAAGTACCACTTCTTACTTTCTGCCTTTCCTGATCTCCCTAGCTGTTAATGCCTTCAGTTCTGAAATTATCTTGCATATTCTGTATACATGAAATACATATGTGGTGTTTTCCTTCAACAGAGAACGTAAGCTCCCCAAGAGTAATACTGTTTCATTTTTATTTTCCTAATGCAACACCTGGTACACCATAGGCATTTAATAAATGCTTGTTGGTTGATATAAAGGATATTATGAAACTGTGAGATTTAGGCTTAGAATGGGAGATAGATAGGACTAATAGGGGGATTTGGATAATTGAATAAAGAGACCTCAAAAACATTGCTGATTGAAATCAAGTCTCTACTGGAAAACAGGTCTCTTTCTTTGGCCTTATTTTTTTAAATGATGTTATAAATGACTTAGATAAAAATGACCAGTTTTTTATCTGCAGGTGACATCAAGCTAGAGGGGAAACCAATGTGGATGTCAAAATCAGGGTTCTAAAGGGTCTTGACAAGGTAGAAAAATGGGCCAAGTGGAAAACTCTACATTTGGGTTTAAAAAATTATACAAACGAATAGGAGAAACATCTATAGAAAGTAGTTCATGTAAAACCTGTCTAAGGGTTCTGGTGAACTGCCATCTCAATGAGACACATGTGACATGGGAGCCAAAAGAAAAAAATTATTCAGGGCAGGACTTGGGCCACATTAGCAGAGGCATACTGTCCAGAATGAGGAAGATAAGAGTTCTGAATTCTGCTCACTAAAGCCAAATTACACATGGCATAATATGTTCAGATTTGAGCACTACCGACCCAGGGCTGCAGTGTTTCCAGGGAAGATCAACAAAGATGGTGAAGGAAGTAATGGCATGACTCAGTTGAAACACCTGGGCAACTGGAGATATTTATTCTGGAAAAGACTTTGCAGGTAGGGGCAGAGCAGGGCAGGATATGGGATATGCTTGCTTGTCTTCAAAAAATTCCTAACAATCAGAACTATCAAAAAAATAATGTCTTGAGAGAGAATAAATCCTTTGAAACTGGAGGTCTTTTTCAGAGGCTGAGATGACAGGACTGGAAGGGAGATTAGAAATATTTTTGTTCATGTTTTAGGCAGGGTTTGAACTAGTTGATCATGCATGTCTCTTCGAACTCTATATTGATTGGAACTATGATTTCATTGGTCTAGGGAATTCCTGAACAACGAAACTCCCTTTTGTCAACGCACCTTTTCTCCAATTTATAGTTTTTTTTTTTAATTTTTAGTTTTCAGTATTCACTTCCATAAGATTCTGAGTTCCAAATATTCTCCCCCTCTGACTCCAATACAGCGTACAATCTGATATAGGCTCTACATATACATTCATATTAAACATATTTTCACATTGGTCGTGTTATAAACAAGAATTAGAACCAATGGGAAGAACCATGAGCAAGGAGAAATAACAACCAAAAAAGAGAGAGCAAATTAGTTTGCTTGCATCTACATTCAGACACCATGGCTCTTTTTCTGGACGTGGATGGCATTTTCCATCGTGAGTCTTTTTTTGTTTTGTTTTGTTGGGCAATGGAAGTTAAGTGACTTGCCCAGGGTCACACAGCTAGTAACTGTTATGTGTCTGAGGCCGGATTTGAACTCGGGTCCTCCTGAATCCAGGGCTAGTGCTCTATCCACTGTGCCACCTAGCTGCCCCCCATCATGAGTCTTTTGGAGTTGTCTTAGATCTTGTAATTTAGAGTCTTAAAAGAATTTTTTAGGGCAGGAGTCATCAAACTATGGTCTGTGGGCCAAATCTGGCCCTCAGGCCATAGTTTGCTAACCAGACCCTTGTTCTCAGGCACTGAGAGGGGTTAAACAACTCGCCCACAGTCACAGAGTCAATGTGTATCAGATGCAGAATCTGAACCCTGGTCTTCCTGATTTCAAGATCAGTCCTTTATCCACTCTGCCACCTTGCCTCTTTTGCTACTCTATAATTCTATAAAATAACATACACCTCCCTCAAAAAAAAATTCATAGCGCTCACAGAGAACTTAAAGAATAATTAAAAAAATTAAGTTATATTATTTTGGTAACAGAATTAGAATAATTCTGCAAAACTAATTCAGAAGAAGCAGAAGTACTACAATGGAAATACAATTAATTACTAAATCATTTTTATGAAATTAAGGGTTTTTTTCCTAAAAAGTAAAACACTAAAAAAAAAAAGTAAAACACTGCTGATTTTCCAGTTTACAAAAAGATTTAAACTGGTGTGTGTCTGAGGTGTTCCAAAAAACATATATCATAAACAAATAAATCAAAATCATTCCACCCTCTGTTTTTGTACTGACTACCTATAAAGGGCCAGTTCAAGTCGCTAAGACCATACTGTGCAAAGTAGGTGCTTGTCTACATTGGTGGAGGAGGTTCCTCACTAGAAGACCTCTACTCCAATAGAAAGAGGGAAATACAACGAAAGGCTTAATATTAATAAATATACACAGGCTATAACCTGTATTCCTTAAATACTAGTTATATGTTCTGAAAATATTCACACAAAAGATTCATGGATTATAATTTTTACCTGAAAAATAAATCTATAAGTTAAAAGAACTTAACCTATAGAATTAAAATAATGTAACTTACAGGATTCTCAACTGTAAAATAAAGAGGCTGAACTAGAGTAATCTTTAAGTCCCTTACAGCTCTAATGTTCTATTTTTATTTTAACCATTCTGATATAAAGGCAATAAAGACAAGGGTTTAAATGATTTTCCCTTTCCCCATTCTGTTTTGAGTCTGTCAGCTGGTGAAAATAAATGACATGGGGCACAAGCAGTGACACTACACATAGGAATAAAACACTGCTATAATATTTTTGATAAAAAGTTTAATATCCATGACCTATAACTTATTCACATAAGTTTTATAGGATATGTTCACTCACAATATGTGGCCAAAGAATATGAATAGGAAATTTTCAGAAGAATCACAAATTAGCTTCCACATGGAAAAGCATTCAAAATCTAATTATCAGAGAAAATAGAAATTAAAACAATTCTGAGATGGCCCCTTATGCCTATTACATTGGTAAAGACGTTGGTTAAAAATGTTAAAATTCAATGCCAGAAGGGCTGTGAGAAAAAGGGTACATTATTATAAATGGACACAATTTTTTAGGAAAGCGATATAGAATTAAACAGTAAGAACTACAAAATTATCCATCCTCTGACCTAGTAAGTTGGAAGCTAATAAGCTAAAGATATGCTTGTTTGTAAAAACAAAACAAAACCACACACACATTTTCTTAGTAATAATGTTTGTTTTAGCAAAAAGGAATTCTATTAAGGAATGGTTGAGCAAATTGTAGTATATGATTATAATGGAATATTATTATGCCATAATACATGAAAAATATAAATCTTTCACATTCCTTTTTTATTCTCCATATGAAGTAGAAGTGAAGAAAATAGAACCAAAAGAATACACATGCTTTCTACAATGATACAAATATCAACAAAATTCAGGGGGAAAAAACACAGAAAAGAAAAAAAAGTTCAGAGGGGGAAAAGAAAGTAAAATAATTACTACTTTTTTAAAAAGTTACATAAAAAATATAAGTAACTTAAATTTAGGGTTTTATGTTATTTTGTTTGTCCATATGTATTTATTAATGGCTAAGTTTATAACAGAAGAAACAAATAACCTTAACTTTAGCTATTCATAGAATGCAAACAAATCCTTTCTAGTACTTAGAGAAAAGAATGTAAATAATAGCAGGTATTACTTACCACCCGTTTCTGTATTATAATAATAGGTATAACCATCTTCACTTAAACCTTCTACCCAAAGAGGCACTGCTGCTTTCTAACAAAAACAAGCATATAAAATATGCTAAAAATGATCATATTTAACAGTAAAGATGATAACAAAAAAACAGCCTGACTACATATAAAAGGATCAGCAGAGTTTTTTAAAAGTCTCTGTCAAGATACATATTCTCTAGGCATAAAGTGTTAAGAATTGGTGGTTGGGAATGGGAACTTGAAACTGAAAAGGGGAGGCTGGGAAAAGAAAAGGGAATTGATAGACCAAATTTCTCGGGAGACAGTTCTCATCAGTCACCAATTCTTGAATTAGATAGCAGCTCTTGTCAAGCACGAGATAAGTGTATATTTGGGCCCAGACTGGCTTATGAAGAGTTCTCTCTATGCCACAGTTTACTGACCTTTGACCTAAGGAATTATTTTAACTGTTCTATGAATGACTCTTGGAGGAGTTTTGAAATAGAAAGGACAAAAATTGCAAATTGTTATTTGGTAGTATAAAACAATGTTTAGAAGTACTCTTTACCCATCAACAGATTAAGAATTTTACTGAAAAGAAATGAGTTCAATTACCTTACTAAATTTTCCTTGAAAGCCTTCAGGTTTCTCCCACTGAGATTCTAAAAGTAAGATCATATGGTAGTTACAGTTTTTCTGCTTTCTAAAAACATTCCTAGATCTCTTGAATTGTTGGGAATATCTAATATGTTCACATGATTCTGTGGAGAATTACAAAAGAAAAATCTCTTTCCTCAAGGGACTTATAATTTAATGGGGAAGGAAGACCAACAAACACTTTAACACAACTATTAAACATACCATATTGGTCTAAATATAAGTTCCTCCTGAATATAGGCCCCCACACTAAAATACTCTCTGAAAGGAGAAAAAAAATACAGGTATATGCTGAAAAATAACAGCAATTATAAGCTGCCTCCAGGTTTTATTCAGACTAATTTTTTTGGGGAGAAGACTTTATATACTACATTCAGGCCAATACAGAATACGTAATAGATGCTAGCTGCATAGCAATTCAAATAAATTTGACAAAAACAAGAAAGTTGAATTTTTTTTAAACGAGGGAATTATTACAACAATTATAATGATTATAAAAAAAATTATAATGATTATAGAGATTAGCCATAAAAAGAATCAAGTTTTCATAGAATTAAAATTTCATCAATTTTGAAGTAAAGGATTTGCCGTGATGAAGATGGGATACCAAACAGGATGAAGTATGGGAAGAAAACTAGATTTCTCTGGAGCACAGAGAATAAGCCAAGGTGTAGAATCCATATTCTGTACAACTACAAAAAACTATAAAGCCTAAGATAAATTATGAGTACAAAGCAGTTTAAGGCTAACCTATGAGAGAAGTCAGATCTGTCATTACTGAACTCTCTGGGAGGAATAAAGACCTACTCACAACACTTAGATGGATCAAGGGTAAGCCTACCTCACTGCTACAGTGCAATGGCTACTTCGCTCAGGGCCCAGAGAGGTTTCTGGTACTTAATTAAAAACTGGGGAGTTATATAAAATATTATCTATAATGCCACTGATTGCCCAGTGATCCAAGGAGCTATCTTTCTGAGAACACAGATGATACATAGAACTATGACACTTGTATAGGGCTTTAAGATTTGCAAGTTGTATTATACATATATTCTCTCATTGGAACAACAGTCCTGTGAGGCAGATACTATAGGTAGCATCATCACCCCCATTTTACAGATGAACCAAACAAACAAAAACTGAAGCTTGGTGAGACTGCTCATGGTCACAAGACTAGAAATCATCAGTGGTGGGATTCCAATGTAGGTCTCTCCTCAGTTCCAGACGTACTTTTTTTTACTACACCATGAAGCCTCTCAAGTGAATCAAAAGATCAACTGAAAAATATCATGGTCTGCATCAACAGAATTGAAAGCACAAAATGCCAACATGCACCAATGAAGGTATGCTAGGTACAGACACAAAATGTGTTTATGGTTTATGGTTCTGACAGAAAACTTATTCTGAAGAATCTCTCACTACAGAAACCTTCAATTTGAATAAGTGGGTATGAAATTCTTTTTATTTTCCTATTAAACTTGGTGTTCATACTCTTACAAAGCTTATAAAAGAAAAGTTAAGCCAAGGGTTTTACTGGGTTTATTATTAAGGCTCTAAGTAAAACACTCAAAGTGCAGATTTCTTTTAACTAATTTTCTGGGGTTCTTTTTTTCCCCACCCAATAGGCTCAAATATACTTTCTAGCATTTTGGGTTGGTTAGAAAAATTTGAAAACGTGTTCCCTTTCAATGTTATGGTATTCTAATACATCAGTTCTTCAAGAATAAATGATTTTAATAATTGAACATTTTCTCTTCAGAGTACAGATTACATCCCTTCTACTCTTTTGTGGATAGTCCTTTAAAGATGCTGAAACCCAGAAAATTCATTGCTTAGTGGCCATCCTGGTGATAAGCTTCTCTAAATTGAAATAGGTGGGTTCTTAGATCAGAGACATACAGTCCAATGACAGACTCATACTTGAAACTTTTCCAGATTGATAGGACTTGCTCGAATTTGTGTTCCATTGTCACAGACTTTGAGAACCCCCAGATACCTCTATGCCATGATGAAGAATCACAGCAAGGCTTTACTAGAAAAAATTATAAAAATAAAACCCCAAAACCAAAATAAAAACCTACAAATTCTCTGTATTAGATATTGTATTATACTATATTTGCACCCAAACTACTTACCTCCTGTGATGGTATTATAATAGTAATGGTAACCTTCTGAAGACATGCCTTCTACCCATTTGGAAGCTCCTACTGCATCTATATTGGAAAGCTCTTTTTTCCTCTTTTTCTTTTCCTTCTTCTGATTTGATAATGAGACAGGTGGGGCAGTGTTGGTCACTTGTGGTGTGCTAGATTCTGTAACATCTATAGAGAAGGTGCAAGAAAAACGACTTACCCAGTGGAACATTCTTAAAACAATGACTAGAACCTGTCTTAGGAAACTTCACCCTAAAAGTAGTTTTCACTAGATTTAGAGAGTAAATTAATGTAGAAAATATGATTATTCAAGCCCAACAGGAATACAAATAATTAAGATATAATCCAGTGTAAGAACGGATTTCTGGGCAGAGAAATCTCCAAAAAATAACTAAAAGAAACAAGGGAGTTGTTCTATACTACGTGAACAATATGTGTCATAGGGCAGGGAATCATTCTCTCATTCCTGAATAAATCCCCACCTAGTGACTTACTACAATTATTTCCTACATAAGTCAATAGGATTTATAGCTGGAAGAGGTCATCTAGTTGAACGTAAGGTCCTCGAGGGCAGACCATTTCATTTTGGTTCCACATCCCCAACACACAGTGCAGTACTTTGCTCAAGAAACTGTCAGACGGTACTCAATCCAGGCCAATCTCCTCATTTTATAGACGAAGAAACTGATCTATAAGATGAGAGAAGATAAAGTGTGGCCTAAGGTCACATCTAGTAAAAGGCACATACAGATTCTCCAGCTCCAAATTAGATTCCAGTTAAACCATACCATCAGCACCTATTCATTAATAAACATTAGTTAAACATCTACCATATGCAAGGCAGCATATGATAAGTTCTGGGTTGGTGGTAGGAATACAAATATACACACAGCACAGTCTCTACTATAAAAAGAACTTGGTCAAAACATAATGAATTACTGCAAAAGTGAATTATCATTAGAAGTTGGAGGTTGTTCACACTTATTAATTAATAAATATCCTTTACCTCAATAACAGAGCCAAATAAGCAACTTAAATGGCCTAAAAGTAAGTTTATGGCCATAGGTAGCTTTAGAAAGTATTACTGCTCAAACTGAACTGAGGCTTAAAAGATGAGAGGTAAAATGATAGGGTACAAAGTTCTACGTCCTCATTTAAGAGAAAGGCTGCCAATAAAAATAGTACAGATGTCTCTTTAGTGTATGAGTTCCATCAGGGAACCTCACCCATGGAAACAATAAAAGTTTACTCAATATTCTCTCTGATGTTACTTTTAAAGCATGTTGGCAGCTTTTCTACCTGAACTGATTCCAAGTCTTTTCAAATCCTCTTGGTATGCTTTAAGGGCAGCTGCTTCCATTGCAGCAAACTCCTTTGATGCTTTTTCTTCTTCTTTTGCCTTTTCTAGGCTTTTCTGTTTAATCTACAGAAGATATGGAAAGGTTAAAACAAAGTAAAAGGACCAAATTAACATGAAAAATTTACAAAAAAATATAAATTACCTCACTGATTCTTTTGGCCACATTTTCCTTGTGGTTCTTTCCCCGTTCATGAAATTCAACACTCTTGAAAAATGTTGGAGATAAAGGGAAAAGCAAACAAATCACAAGTCACAATTCTTGCAATGAAGCAGTAGGATCCAGGTGGGAAGAGAACCTAACTCTTGAAATTTAAACAATTTCTTGAAAGAAGGGAAAAAAAAGCTAAAAATGGAACACCTTTAATGCAGATTGGCCCTTCTTACAAAATAATGCCAGTGAGTAGTAACGTTTTAATTATATCCTTTAACATTAAAACCATGGTTTACATGAATTCTTAAAAATGTATATTAGACTTGTGATGATTTTGTTGAAGAAAAAGATATTAATTAAAACAAACTTCTGTAGAATAAATAAGACAGAAGCTGGAGGTTAAGTGAGAAAACTCTTGTTCATATTAAGAACCTGCCCAAATACTGTAAGATATACCACAAGTAACAAGTGTGTATAGAGGTTTTCCCTCCTCCCTTCAAATTCATAAAGAATCCTTTGTGGGAGAAATAAGGAATAAATAAATCACATTCTAAGTTTATTTCTCGAAGAGAATTATAAAATGTTGTTTCCCCCTCTTTTTTTAAAAAAAGTTATTGATATTGTTAAAAGTCTACAAATACATCATAATCTGACAGATTAAGTAAAATCACAATTAAAACAATTCCAGTTATTTTTAAGGGTATAGTATTTTTAAAGCAAATAATCATATTTTATTAGTTTAAAAAGGTTTCTTTTAAATAGAATATACCTGTATATGAAAATTATGACAAACTAAAATAAATGTAATTTCTCTAGAAAAATTGTACCTTCCACTGAAGGTTAAAAAAGTATATCATACTTTGGGTGGTTACTTTGAGAAGCATTTATCTACTAAGTACTGTTATCTGCCTTACTATTTTATTACATTTGGTCTCATTTTGCAAACAGTCACGTGACCCCAAGCTAAGAGATAATTTGTCTGAGTAAGTTAAAAAGGATACTGATAAAGTACACAATTGCTATCTGGGTTGTCTTCTAGAAGGAAATCATTATCAACAAATTTTGTGGACTGGAAAATTGTTGGTACATGTTTGTAAGGATGCCTTAATCAAAACAAAATGGGACGGGCAGTAAAGAACTTTAGTAAAGGATGACTTTGAACTGAAAGTTTTAAGAGAAAGATAATTTTTACATATTATTTTCCAGAATAGAGCTAAAATACAGTTCATTTTTAGGTTGACTTAGCAGATAATATTAAAAAGTTCTTTTAACAGTTCCATTATTCAAAACTTTCAGGGAAATAACAATCCCTATCTTTTTTAAAAACGGTGAAAAAAAATTTTTACACTCATTAACATTGATTTTCACTACCATAATGCTCTCTTGTAATAAACTATTATAAAATTTCAAATGGTAAATTCACCTGCAGTTGACTTAAAGAAATTTTACAGTAAACTAAACTTTGAAACAAGTCTCTTAAGCACAGTAACAAAAGATAAAAATCTAAGGAAGTCCTAAAAATGGGTCCAGGCTTGTCAATTCTTCAACTTTTAAATCCTGTCTTAGGGACTCCAAGGTAACTGATTAAAAGGGCAGGCAAATAATAGTTTCCAGTATGTGGCACAAAATTTACTTATACACTGTTCATAGCACTGATTAAACAAATTTTGCCAATATGCATTGGAATGCATTATTAACTGTGAGTCCAGAGAAAGAAGGCGAACAAACACCCTTGTTTGAGGTCATTAGTAAAGAAGTACCAAGAGTCTCAGTACCAAATAGACAGATGAAAAATGGGTAATAGAATACATATGCGTAACTTTTTTTGGAGAAGGAAGATGTCTAAAAATAATCTAAGCCATATATGGACATTTTAACCTCATAGATATTACACATGGATATTGTAACTTATGTTATAACAAAATTTACAAATCACTAATCATAAAAACTGATTTTTGAGGTCACATTTATTCCCAAAAGAACGTCTGTGAAATGTGCATGAAGATTTAGGAAAAAATGAAAAGGTAGTATTTTGTATGTTAGGTCTTAGCAGCTCAATCTAGGACAATAAATACTGTTACTATTTTCTTAAGACAGCTGCTACGTTCCAACACAGGGAGGTTATATTGATAGTTCTCAAATTTGAACATCTATTGATGGAGGAAAAAGAGCTGTGGAAAAACTGTTATATCTTTCCATACAGCAAGGAACATATGGAAAAGCTGCTCTAAATTATAAAATCCCTTTAAACTTCTGTTAACTTCCTATATTCTAGAACCCAACATGGCACACTATTGAAATAGGAATGTCTAATGAACACTAATGAGACTGACTACTCAACAATCTACTTTTAAAAAATATGAAATCGGCATTCATCTACATAAAATATAGTTTATTGAAACAAAAACTAACATTGCTAATGAAAAAAATATATATTGGAAAAACTCTTGTACCAGGAATAATAAAATACTAAAGAAACAATCTTGGATTTTAAGGCCTGCTATAATCTGCCTCTAACCTACTTTGTTCGATAATCTTACAGTACAGTACTTCTCTAAATGTCTTCTATTTTCTGGTGGCAACTCCCCATCTCATCCTGACTATGCATTTGTACAGCCCATTCCAGAGTCCCTGAATGAACTCATTCCACCCTGTTGAAAACTAGTTGCCTCTTCATTCCAAACTAGTTTCAAATGCTACCTTCTCCTTCAGTCTTCCAACATTTCCCCAAAGCTGAAAGTAATATCTACCTCTTCAAACTATTCTGAAGCATTTTGTTCAAATTTCTCCTTTGTCCTTATCACAAGGTATCATACCTATTTGTACTTTAAAAAAATTTTTTTTAAATAAAAAAAAATTTTACCCTATTTATTTAGTGAGGCAACTGGGGTTAAGTGACTTGCCCAGAGTCACACAGCTAGTGGGTGTTATGTGTCTGAGGCCACATTTCAACTCTATCCACTGCACCACCTAGCTGCCCTACCTATTTGTACTTTGCAAACCTTAAAGTGGTACATACTTGACTACTGTATGTATGCAAACTCTATTTATCCTATTAGTCCTCTAAATTGCATACTCACACCTGGCAAAGTATCTGATAAGTAAGTTCTTAATTTGCTGAGCTGGCTTCAGCTCAAGAATTAGCTTAAGTGATTTTGTTCTAAATAAAAATCCAATGCTTTACTACAGGAACTGATATTGAATAGCATAAAGTTCTCATATTTTGGAAGCAATAGTAGGAGATCATACAGGCCTATTGTCTGCTATCCAGCACTTGCAATAATCACAGAATTTCTTAGGTTGTGATTTCCAGTAGTCGGCCCTGAAAAATAAATGGGGGTGGGGGGAGAGTCAAAGGTAAGAACAGCATTAATACAGAAAAGTTGTGCATACTTTACACATTCTTATAACTTCAAACTTTAAGTTTCTGCTATTGAACTCTTATCAGCTACATTTTCAGCCCTTAGTTATACTAATAACATACTAATGCTAACATTAGTTATAATACCAATATAATACACTAATATTGCACTGTAAAGTTTTATGTGAATAGACTGCATAGGTGGATTATAGCTAAGTTACCTTCGAACCGCTAGGTTCCCTCATATACCAATGGCATGACTTAAAAAAACATAAAACTTCGATTTCAACTTCCCTTTCTGCACATAAGGCAACCGCTAAGATGGATCATATAGTTTCAACAAGCATTTACTTTTGGAGTTTGCTAGGATGTAATTGGACTAGAGGCCAGTGGGAACTAATAACTGTTACCCAAACTAAGTTACCTCCCCCAAAGGGGGAAAAAAGGTACTCTGACCCAAGTGTTTTATGATCCATACGATTTTATTAGTTACGGCATATTCTTGCTTTTTCTTTCCCGAGGCAGGCAAGGAACACAGAAAAAGTTGGCAAGGAGGCGGGCCTTCACTTTATCTCGGGAGGGAAGCTTTTCTGGGCGGGGAAAAGCCGCAGGCCAGGGCCAAACCCTTTAAAGCCCCCGGATCCAAGACGTCCTGGCACAATCGGAGCGGGGTACGAGGGTGGGAACGCCTCCTTGTGGCACAGTCAGAACAGGGGGTCGGGAAGGTGGCAATGCTCCTGAAAAAGGGGCCGGAGAACCTTCCCTTAACCGCGCCCCGGAGTGCAGAGCAGCTTATCCGCGTGCACCGCCCAGGCCTGGCGAAAGCAGGGACCTCGAGAAATACCCCGGCTGCCTCGGTCCCTCTCACCCCTGGGTGCCGGCCCCTGGCTCCCGTGCAGTGTGTGTGTGGGGTGCATACCGCCCCGAAACCTGAGGGCGCTGTTCGGGGTCGAGGCTTAGAGCGGGGAGGGAGCCTGCGACACTCACATGGCGGCTGGAGCGGCTCCGGCTCCGCCCTCGGGCTCGCGCGGGTGGTCAGCGCGCGCGGGGTTCACGGAGCCCTGCCCGCCTTTAGGCCTAAGACAGCCCCGGAGTAACAGCCACACTCAGGACCGGCATTCCACCGTCCCGAGCTACGGAGGCCCAGAGCACTCAAACTGCGTTTAACACTCCTCCTCCCCCCTCCTTCCCTCCCGCGAACTGGGGCGGTACTCCGAAGAGGGAGGGGGAGGATCATAAAGGTGCCTGAGGGAGATTATAAAGGGGCAGAGGTCAAACGAAGCTAGGGCTCGCTCCCGGCAGGAGCTGGAGTGAGGGGCGGGATCTTGGGCCCAGCGACCGCGGGCGAGCAGCCTGGGCACCGCCCCCGCTCCTCACGCATACGAGACATCGCCACTCTGCCTCTAGCCCAGAGCCTTCCGTGAGGGGGAGGACGGGGGCTGGAGGGGCGGCGCCTCTGGCTAAGGTGGGCAGCCAGGTGACCCAAGTCCTCACCCCCAGGACTAGAGAACTGCCGTGTTCTAAGGAAGGAGGGAGTGCCTCCTCAGAGCTCTGGCCCGGGGCGGGGTGAGGGGGAGGAGGGAGGGGAAGGCTGGCCACGCCCTCCCTTGCCTCACTCCTTCCCCCGCCCTCCCCGTGGTCTCGCCCATCGAGTTCTCGCGCTCCAGAGCGCGTGGGCGCGGCCTGAGCTACGGGCAGACGCAGCCCATGCTCGTCGGCGGCGTTGGCAGCAGCGCGGCAGTGGAGGTAGCGGCGGCTGAGGGTAACGGCGGCGCTTGCGCTTGTCAGGTGGGTCTGGGGAGTGCATGCAACTGTAGCTTCCCATATGGTCTAGCGGTTAGGATTCCTGGTTTTCACCCAGGCGGCCCGGGTTCGACTCCCGGTATGGGAAAAGCTGATGTTTTTAGAAATTATCCAGAAATTTTTTAACCCTTTCTCTAGTGCCCTGGAACCAGCATTTCCCCCCCTTTTTTGTAGTTTTAGAGACCCCCGTGTTCACTCTCGTCTTCGGAGCCAGAAGTGCGCGCGGGGGATGGTGGGATTGCGTCCTTGGGCTTCCCTGCCGCGGACCTAGGGGGAGGGTAGTTAGTTTCACTTGGTTTCTTTTGGTTCATTTGCCGGGAACTTCCCCTCCCTTCGGCCCTCTTGGGCTGTAGTTTTCCATGGCTTTGGGAGGTGATTATTAACTCCTCTCCCCGGCCAAGTGTTTCACAAGTGACGCTGGGCGTGTTTTCATCCCCACCCCTCGCAGCTCTCCCGTACCGAGCCTTCTTCGGGAGGAGAGTTTCATAAGTTTGTCTCCCGCCCTCCCTCCTTCCCCCCCCCTTAAATCCAACGAACAAAAAGTATGAAAAAAGCTCGCTCCTCTCTCCTTGGGCCGTGGGAGTAAGTCGCCTCCCTGGGGTTTGGGCTGCGGAGTTTCCCAGGACTTCTCCCTGACCAGAAAGGGTGTTTGGATTTGCCCGGAGCTGGGACGGCCCCTCGGGGCTGCTTTCCTGTAAATTCATCTACATGTCAATCCCAGATTGGCTGCAAAGGGGCCTGATGATGTTTATCACGTCCTGGCCAGCGCCGGGGTCCTGCTTTGTCTTGCACACAGAAACAAACAAAAAGCAAAGCAACGCCCCCCAAAACTTTTGTGACTTTGGTTTCCTCGTTGAACTTGACCTTGCCACTTAGTGCCCGGGAGAAGTGTGTCAGACCCAAGAAAAGTATATACTGAACTTGTTGCTGGGAGGGAAGAGGCTTCTCGAAATTAGGAGTGTTCAGTTATAGTCTGTTTGAGTGAGAAAGGGCAAGAAAAATACTAAGATGTGCGATGCTTGTTTCTAACCTATTCCAAGGGCCCTGAGAACTTGAGAATCACATGTTTGAAAAAACACACACCCCAAAAACACATGGAGTGGGGGTGGAGCTGTGTACTGGAAAGGAGAAAACTGGCAGAAGACTGGGGAGGGGATGTTAAAACAAAGTTTCACTGTATTTTTAAATATAGAGGCCCTGTGTTTATTACAGAGAAGGGGCAGCTGTGTCAGCATGTGAGCTGCAAATGAAACAAAAGAGTTATCTTAAATTCGAGCAAGTAGAAAATGGGGTTAGCTACCATGTTTAGTCTGAGGTCTCAAGGAACAGAAGAAAAAAGTGATTTTTCTTGTGGTAAGTGTCATTGCTCAGTGCTGGAGTTTTGCTTGTCAGCAGTTTGTATTTGCTCTGCAGAGAGGGCAGTTTTTCAAATAAATTTTGAACGAAAGTTGGTGAAATAATTTAAATTTTGAAGTGATTTAGTCTACTTAAAATTTTCATAAATAAAAATAATATTTAAAAATAGTTTTGAAACATACTGGTTTGAGGTGACTATTGAATTATTTTGATTCCCACTTCTACTTTGTCTGGTTGTTTTGGGGAATTATCTTCTCTGTGTTGTAATATCTTAAAAATGAATATAATGCATATCACCAGCATACCCGTTATTGCCAAAATTATTAGACTTATGCTTCCAAAATTACTGAAGGCAGACTAGCCTTGTTTAAATACAGAAATGGGCCCTGGGCACTATCAAGAAAACAGTTTTCCTTAGAGTAAATGTTTGTTTTGTTGTAACAATAATAATCAATTTTTACAAAATGGTGCTGCAAAAGCTTTTGATATTTGTTAAGTTTGAAAGCCTTTCTTTTTTAGTATGACAATAACACGGCTTAAAAATAGTTTTAGAGGGACATCAACAAAATAAATGAATTTAACTTAAAAGAGTAAATCTAGCAGTCTTCCCCTGTTATTTATTTATTTTTTTATTTTTTTGTCGTTGCTGAAAGTGACCATTTGAAAGCTACTGACTATTGTCAGGGAATATGCCTTTGAGTTTAGCTAGTATTGGGGATGATTTTGTAAGGAGTCATTCATACTTGCATATATGGTTGTCAAAGGCATACATTTACAAGATGATTGAGTATTTGGGGGAAGTAGTATAACCCATAGTGATGTTCAATGGATGATATGAATGGAATCAGCAATTCTCATTAATACTAGAAGTAGTCAGTTCTGCATACACTGCACTGATCCATCAGTGACCATTTACAAGACACTATGATAGGCACTGGTAATGTAAAGATATAAATAAAACAGCCCTTGGTTCCCAGGAACTTAAATTCTATAGGAAAGAGACTTGTATACATGTAAGTATGTACAAGGTAATTTTTGTTTGAAAGTAGTAGTTAATGGGGGTGGAGGCAAGAGACTTTATCTAAAAGGTGGTATTTGAGTTGAACTGTAATGGAAATTAAGGATTTTGAGAGTGGGAGGCAAGAAGGAGTGCATTCCAGGCGTGAAGGGGAAGGACAGTTTGTGCAAAGGCACAAAGATGGATAGCCGTGGAATGTGTGTGAAGATTAGCAAGGCTAGTTTGGATGGACTGAGGAGTGTGAAGGGATTAAAAAAACAAACAAAAACTGGACCAAGGTACATTGGAGCCAGAATGTAAAAGGCTTTAAATACCAGAGAGGTTTCTATTTAATCCTAAAGTGAATTAGAGCCACTGGAGTTTATTGAGTGGGAGAGTGATATGGTTACACCTGTACTTTAAAAAAAAAATTACTTTGGTAGTTGTGTGTAGGATGGATTAGAGAGGGTTTAGACCTGATATAAAAAATTAAAAAGTTGAAAGGGAAGAAAGAAGTATTAATAAAAATGAAGGATTGATTTAAAAAATATCTCTCTTTTATGCAAGATTTGGGGATTTGAGAAAAGAGAATTAGCTGTCATAAATAGTGTAGCGTCTGACTTGGCTTTTTGACCCAGATTTCTTTGTTGAGTTGTTTGTTTGGTTGTAGTTCCCATTTTAGTTAGCAGGTTTTGCTACTTGGATTAGCCATGGACATCATTCCAATTTATAGTGCTTTCCTGGCTTGGTTTGCTAGTAGGATGTGGTGATTGACCAGTGTGAACGATAAGAAAGCTTAAAATCAGGAGGTTGATCACCACCAGTATCTCTGACCCAGTCTGATGACTGGTTTCTGACACCTGCCTTCCTCTCATTCTCATGTAGTCTTGGTCTTTAGTTTCTATGGAAAGGCATCTTCTAAGCCATTAGGGAGCCTGAGGCTGCATTTTCCAGAAAGGAGAGAATTTTAGTGTCTTAACTGATAATGTAGGTTTGTTCCACTTTAAGAATAAATATGTTAAAAAAAAATCTGAGTTTGTGAAACAAATAATTTCAAATTATTCACCTCTGGAAAAGTCTATACTTTTGCTTTCTTTAAATGTCAGGTTCCCCTCCTTTTAAATTATATTTTACAGATTTAGTTTTAATGCAGTCAACAGATATTTCCAGTGTATCTCTAAAGGACTGTACTTGATTGTTGAGCACAAGTAGAAATAGAAAAAAGCCTAGTTGGGGAGATGACTTATTTACATTCTTATGTCTTCAGTTCTTTTCATATACACGTGCTGAACGATACAGGCATGAGATGCTGTAGAAGTTTAGAAGGAGATCCATATCTCTTTGGGGTCATTGGTGGGCAAGTTGTCACCTCCATCAGGTGAGATTTGAGCTGGGCCTAGAGGAAAGGGTAGGATTTAAATAGATGGAGGGAGAAAGGGAGGTTGTGAGCAAATGTGATGGTTAAAAAAAAAAGTAATGGGTATATTCTGTGGACAGAGCATTCTATTGAGTAAAGTCTCTTGCTTTCTGGGGAAAGAAACAAATGCCATTCTATTCTCCTGTCTTTTGGAATAGGGGAGAAAAGCCATTCTGTTTGCTCCCCTATATTGGCACCTTTGCCTGAGGTCAAATTCTAGGGTTTTTGATAACCTCTCTGAACTCATTCCAGTTTGTCATCATTCAAACCTTGGTTCTCCCTTCCTTACTGCCCACTCCTCCCTTATTCTCATTCTGCTCAATCCAACTCTTCCCCACTCTATGTCCCACTCTAAGGCTACCTACTTCTTCAGCGCTGCTTTTTGGAATGCCTGCTCCATAGGGAATATACTTGCTTTCATCTTAAATCTTTTCCTTTCCCACTCCTAGATGTCATGGATGCCTGACTTCCTCCGGATGACCCATTTTCCTTGGCTCCCCTTTCTAGAACTGGTTGCCCTCATACTTATCTCCCCCCCCCCCTGGTTGAGGTGGGAGACTTAGAATACTGTTTCCCACTGCCACTTCCAGTCTCTCCCTCATCATCCATCTCTAAGTAACCTCACCGTTTTTGAGGTTCACTCAATCTATATCTGCCTGGTGAATCAGATCCTGATTACTAATATTGTAGTAGTAGTAGTCTACTGACACTAATAGGGAAAGTAGAAGGTGGGAGGGTTTAGGGGGAAAGATAATGAGTTCTTGTGTTTTTGACATGTTGAGTTTAAGATGTCTACTGGATGTCCAGTTTGAGATGTCTGCAAGGCAGTTGAAGAAGTGTGATTTGAGAGCTATCAGCATAGAGATGGTAGTTAAATCCATGGGAGCTGATGAGATCAGCCTGAGAAGTTGTTTAGGAGAAGAGGGGCCAGGATAGAATCCTGAGCTCCACCCAGGGTAGTTGTTCAGTAGTTCTTTAGTTGGGTTCAACTCTTTGTGACCCTGTTTGGGGTTTTCTTGGCAGAGATACTGGAGTGGTTTGCCATTTCCTTCTAGCTTATTTTACAGATAAGGAAACTGAGGCCAACAGGGTAAAGTGACTTGCCCAGGGTCACAAAGCTAGTAAGTGTCTGAGGCTGAATTTGAACTCAGGTCTTTCCTGACCTGACAGCACACCCAGCCCTTTATCCACAGCACCGCCTAGCTGCCCAA